TACATGTGAGGGAGAGTGTGCGTGTGTATGAGAGAAAGTGAGAAAGAAGAGAGTGTGAGAGGCTGTGAGTATGTGTGAGAGGGTTTGAGTGCCAGTGAGAGTACGAATACACATGTATATTGGACCCACTTTCCATGTGTTAAATAAGCACAACACAATCCAATCTTGGATTTCATTGTTGACAGGTGGGATTTTGGAACTTTTGCAATCATTTATATTTTTTGAGAAATATCAAGAAGGAAGCAAGCTCTGATGCGTGCCTTTGTTTCTGAGGTCTATGTCTCAACACTTAATAACCTGCACTTTTCTAGTTCACAGTCACCCAATCAAACCCAACACTGCTGGTAATTGGAAAGTTTGCATTGTTGGTACAAGCAAAAACCAGACGTGATAATTAGAGGCTGTTAATTTTTAAATGCAATTTTTTGTTAAAAAGTGGAAATGACAATGAGGAGGGAGACTGTGCACCCCCCCCCCCCCCCCCCTGAGGAATCAGCTGATGAGCAGCTTAGCAGTTTTTGTTGCGTTTAGTAAAGACTGTGTGAAAGAGGGCAGAAAACTCAGCATTTTGCCATGGCCTGTGACCCTCTTTAAAACAGTGACCCTGGCCTGGCTCAAAGGAGAAGTGGCAGGATTTACCATAACCTTGATTGGCAAACTACTTGTCGGCATCTAATTAGTACTAAAATAAAACAAGGAACTGCAGACGCTGAAGATCTGAAGCAAAAACAGAAATTGCAGGAGAAACTCAGCAGTTCCAGCAGCCTCTGTGGAGACAGAAACAGAGGTAAGCTTGCAAGAGCAGATACTCTTCTGGCTTTGTTTCTAACTAGTGCTGATCATTTCAAATTAGATCTGACTGAGTTTTCATCAGTGTCTCAGGTGAGTCTGCCCAATATCTGCTCCATGAGGCATTCAAGAAGGGGAATTGGGTAATTATCTGGATGGAAAGGGTGTGCAGGAATACAAAGGAAAGGCAGGAGATTGGCATTAGGTCATGATGCTCATTTGAAGAGGCAGTACAGTCATCATGGGCTGATTGGCCTGCTCCAGTATCGTAACAATTCTGTGAGTCTGTGAAAGTGAATCAAAGCTCAGCGCTGACTCAGCATATCACCGAGCTGACTGCACTCTTTACAGCTCACAGTGTGTCTCACAAATGCTCCTGCTGCTCTGCTGGTTCTCTCACACACAACCTGTTTAAAACCTTCTTTAAATTTCACTTCAGTACTGACTTTGTCATTTGTACTCTGGGTTGTTTTTAAATAATGCCCAAAACCTTTGCAGGGAACCTTGACTAAAGCGGGATAAAAATGTTCCACCAGTCCAGAGGACGGAATGCTATTTGTCCATGCAGCAAATCTGCTGACATTGTACAATCCAGAGACAGATCATTGCTCTGGACCCAATCTGCAAATTCAAACCTAGGCTTTTGTGAGGAATTGAGGCTTTCAAGTCAAAAATTCCAATGAATGCATTAAGACATGAGATATTTCAAAAGATACAGTTAATGTCATTATTGTGAAATGTGTATTTGTTTCATTAGAAATTTCAAGTATTGAGGGAAAAGATGATAAAGACCAGCAAGAATTGGTTGGGCCTGTTTTGTGCCATAGATTTTCAATAAAGCATTTTGAGTGATTTGTTGGAACCTGGCAGTCAGCATTGTATTGTCGGAGTGTTACACATTTACTGAGGCACATCCCCCCAATACTAACACGGACACATTTGTAATGGGATAAAATTGGGACAAAATGTGTGAGGAGTGTGACAAGACGACATTATGTTGAGCAGACAGGAAGTATGTAGGTATCTAATATTCTGTTTATGATTTTTAAATGAAAAGCAAAAAGCTCAAGCCAGTTTCCTGAGATGTCTGATTTCTTTGCACAAGTATATAAATGAAATAATCAAAAGCCTCCAAGCACTTCCCACATTGTGTGTATGTGCGTGCATGTGTGTGCGTGTGTGTGTGTGCGTGCTTGTGTGTGTGTGTGTGTTTGTGAATGGTATGTGTCTGCATGTGAGAGTGAATGGTGTGTGTATCTCTGTGTGTGCCTGTATGTGTGTGTGTGTGTGTGTTACAAAAATTGCTGCAAAGCTATGAACTACATTTTGCAGATTTCCAGCTTCCATGATGGCAAACTGATAGATTATAGACTCATAAAGTCATAGAGTTGTACATGCTGACCAGAAATCCTAAATTAATCTAGTCCCATTTGCCAGCATTTGGCCCAAATCCCTCTAAAACCTTCCTATTTGTACCCATCCAGATGTCTTTTAAATGTTGTAATTGTACCAGCCTCCACGACCTCCTCTGGCAGCTCATTCCATTCACAGACCACCCTCTGTGTGAAAACGTTGCCCCTTAGGTCCCTTTATATCTTTCCCCTCTCACTTTAAACCTATGTCCCTCTAGTTTTGGACTCTCCCATACTGGGGAAGAGAGTTCGTCTATTTACCCTATCCATGCCCCCCATTTTATCCCCCATTTTATAAACCTCTATAACGTCACCCCTCAGCCTCGGATGCTCCAGGGAAAAATAGCCCCAGCCTAGTCAGCCTCTCCTATAGCTCAAACCCTCCAATCCCCGTAACATCCTTGTAAATCTTTTACGAATCCTTTCAAGTTTAACAATATCCTTCCTATAGCAGGGTAGCCAGAACTGAATGCAGTATTCCAAACGTAGCCTAACCAATGTCCTGTACAGCTGTAACATGACCTCCCAACTCCTATACTCAATGCACTGACCTATAAAGGCAAATCTACGAAACGCCGCATTCACTATTTTATCTACGTGGGACTCCACTTTTGAGGAACTATGAACCTGCACTCCAAGGTCTCTTTGTTCGGCAACACTCTACAGGACCCTACCATTAAGTGTATAAGTCTTGTCCTGATTTGCCTTCCCAAAATGCACATTTATCTAAATTAGACTCCATTTGCCACTCCTCAGCCCATTGGCCTACCTGATCAAGGTCCTGTTGTACTCTGAGATGACCTTCTTCACTGTTCATTACACCTCCAATTTTGGTGTCAGTTAATGAGGTTCTTTGAGTATGTGCATATGAAGCAGGAATGGCAGTGCATGGGTTTGTAGGATGGCAGAGAGTTGAGCACAGTTGTAGTGAGGAGAGTGAAGGCACATTTTGAGATACTGCGAGCTGAAGGGAGTAGAATAACATCCAACGACGAACCAGCCAGAGAGCTGCTCATCAGGATGCCTCACTTCAGTTCTGGGAAAAAACTGACAACCCTATCTACGCATCTCACAAGTATCCCCTCAGCCTGCTGAGTTTCTCCAATGATTTCTGATCTGCACAACCGCACCTCTCCGCCCAACCTTTCCCTATACTGCCTAGGTTCTGTCAACGCAAGAATTTATGGACCTTTATCTTGGAGTTTAGGGGTGAGATTTAGGCCAGTTGGCCCCCTCAAACTTGCCGCTTTATTCAGTAAAGCTGATCTGGTTGTGGTCTTGATGCCAATTTACTGTCTCTGTCCCCCCACGACCCTGACTGCTTTATTAAAAGTCTGTCTGGCGAATAATTCGATGATCCAGCCTCCAGCTTTAACACAGTACAAATGATTGCATTGACTAACCTCAACGACTGAGCCCTGCAAAGGTTCACAACCCAACAAGGGAATAAACTTCTTAACTTCGTCCAAAATGACTGGCACCTCCTCCTGAAGCTACAGCCCCTTAGATTCAGATTCTACAACCAGGAGAGTAGTCTATTCGCTTCCCATCCTTTGTTTCCATGAAGATGTTAGTTCATACTGTGTTCCAGTTCCACATGCATCATCTGTGCTCCAGTAGAACTTTTAACTTTTTGGCTTATTTCTCTATTTTTGTACCAAATATATTTCAGTACCTAAGGTTTGTAACTAGGTATTTTGTACCTAAGATGGTGCTGTGTGTGGTGACATTGTACACTATTCACTATATTCCTGTACTTGACTACATGTGACAATAAAACCTATAGAACTCCAGTTAGGACACGCTTGCAATATTGCACACAGTTCTGGTCCCCACACTACCATTAGGATGTGGATGTTTTAGAGAGGGTGCGGAAGAGGTTTACCAGAATGGTATGGGGGATTTTAGCTACGAAGAAAGGTTGGATAGACTGGATTTGTTTACGCTGGAGCGCAGGAAGTGGCGAGATGACCTGATAGAAGTTTATAAGATGTGAATGTGAATTTTATGTGAATGTCATGGATAGAATGGAAAGTATGAGGCTTCTTTCCAGGGTGGAGGATTCAATTACTAGGGGACACAGGTTCAATATGCAAGGTGAGGGGGGGGATGATGTTTAAAAGAGATGTGCGAGGCACGTTTTTCACACAAAGGGTGTTGAGGGCCTGGAACGTGCTGCCAGAGGAGGTGGTGGAAGCAGACACAATAGCAGCATTTAAGAAACACTTGGATGAATGCATGAATAGGAAGGGAATAGAGGGATACAGATCCTGTAAGTGAAGACAGTTTTAGTATGAAAGGGCAAAATGTGTTGGCGCAGGCTTAGAGGGCCGAAGGGCCTGTTCCTGTGCTGTAATGTTCTTTGCGCTTTGCTCTTTGGTAAGTGAAGTGAAATTATATTTAAGGTGTCAATTGCAGTGACTCCCCGAGTCATCCTTTGTGATGTTATGTAGATACTTGGGTTAATTTCTGCAAACCCTTTCAGCCAGATAATGGAGTGAACACTGGGGCTGGGGGTGTGGGCGTTCATGCTGTGTTGCTGTCATTGGCCACCCTTCTCTCTGCCCATCAATGCTGAAAGCTAACTTTGTCTCAAAGAATCCAGTTCAGTGAGAGCAGGTGGATTCATTGATTTTAGAGCAGAGGCTGAATCGAATTTCGATAAAATTTGTGAGAATAAAGAATTAACAATTGTTTTAATTTGAAGAATAAACATGTTTATTGTGAGCTGACACAGTTGTGAAGTTGGATCTATTCTTAACAGCAAGATTCACTGAAAGGGAGACTGAAAGGGATTCAGTAAAATGAATAACGTTGTTTACTAACTTGGAGACTCAAATCTATTTTCTGTCAATTATCTGTTCTTTTCTGCGAAGGCATTAACTCAAAGGATTAGACTGTTATCATTGATAACTGGATGCTGCTACATTGTCCAAATATTCATTCTCCATATTTAAGCTTTGATAATGAGGATTTAATCACTTGTGTTACAGTTGGGTCTGATCCTGTTCCCAGTCCTGCTCTGAGTTCTAGTGTTCAGTTGGCACACACGGCCTTCCCAGCATAGACTTCTGATTAGCAACTTGGAGCAATGAACTTTCTCTTCCTGGTGCTAATTGTATAACCCTGATTCTTGACCCAACTGAGATGAGTCACTCCGCACAACTGCACAAATTCAGTCTGGGATCTTGCTGTTCTACCTGGACAGTGTTTACAGTAATGAACATGACTAACAGGAGTGTGACATGGAGATTTTGTTGCTGCTTTTCAAGTAGCTGAAGGATTATCAATGATGAAATGGCTAAAGAGTGTAACAATCTGTGGTTGCTGCTAATACCTCTTCAACATGATAAGCCCCCTCTTCAGGAATAACTTCATCTTCCACAGTTTCCGCTACTTTCTGCAAAATATCAAAGTGATTCCCTGAGCACAATCCACTTTACTCCAAGAACCTTTACATTCACAGCATTCATCTCCTCATACAATTAAATAAAATCACATATTCAGGAATAATCTGAAGTCAGACATAATTTCCTTCAAGCACTTTGGTTACATACATGAATTTCCAAACACACCTAATATCCAGAGCCTTCAGGCGGAGTGACATGTTAGTAGAACTTGCGGGTGTTTTGTTTTGATAATGCTTTGGTTGTAAATTCTTTTCTGTCAATTTAATTTAGACTCAGTCACTAAAATAAATTGAAGCATTAATATGTAGGATGTCTGGAAGCAACGCAGTGGGAAGGTAAAGCAGCATGGGGCTGTAGGCATTGAGTCAGACTGAGATTTGCAGAGAATCCATTTTTGAGGTAAACAGGTTCTGCTTACTGCCTTGTTCCCTTCTCAGAGGTTGTCTCATTAACCTGAGAGTCCAACTTGCATCGTGGCCAGGATTTAAGGTGGGCAATAAGGGACATGCCCATCAATTGGAGAAGTGGTCCTATACCGCTCCCCCCTCCCCCCTGTATTGCTTCTCAGGGAAATGCTCGATGAGATTTACAGCCTGTCATGCGGTAATGACTGCCTCCAGAAGTCGCTGGGCTCCACTGAAGACAGTGCCACCCAGCATGTCCTTCATACTCACAGGACTTTACCACTGAGTTCCTGGGCACAGGTGAGGTTGGCAGGATGGGGTCATGTGGATGGAGTCACCAGAGATTGAGGGGCACAGTGGGAGTGGTTTGGAGTTTTAATTTAGTTTTGTTTTGATGTGAGCATCACCAGCAAGGCCAGCATTTGTCCCTAATTGCCCTTGAACTGAATGACTGAAGGCACTTTCTGAAGGCAATTAACTGTCATCCATAGTGCCACAGGTCTGGAATCACATAGGAGCCAGGCTAGGTAAAGATGGTGAATTTCCTTCTCCAAAATGAAATGATTAAAAGGAGTTAGTAAACAAGGTGGGTTTAATAGCAGTAAATCAATGGTAATTTCACAATCACCATTTCTGAATGTAAGCTTTTTATTTCAGTATTTTTGATTCACTGAAGTTAAATCTCATCAGGTGTCATCATAGAAACGTAGTATCATAGAATCCCTGCAGTTCAGAAGCAGGTGATTAGGCCCATCAAATCCAGACTGACCGCCCAAAGAACATCTCACCCAAACCCACACCCCTACCCTTATCCTGTAACCCTGCATTTCCCATGGCTAATCCACCTAGCCTTCACATCCCGGACACACAAACTTATTCTTTGCTCTGGATCTTAATTGTGAGGACCTCGAGAAATCGAATGTAATTCATCACGCTATTTTCATGTGCTGAAGTGGGTGCTACTGCAGTTAAAATTATCTCTCACCTTATCAATTGGCAGTTCCACCTTGGTATTTTCATCCTCAGGAATCTCCTGAGCTCCTTGCAGCTCAGCTCGTTTCTCAGTCACTTTAAAAACACTCCCGTCATCTGATGGATATAAAGATGATTAAATTGACTGCAGCAGTCAGTGAAACAAAAGATGAGAGCATCTCAATTAACATGCACATTACGAGGAACATTGTTCTAGCTCGCTCATCATTAAAACTGCTGGGGTGTAGCTAAACATTCACAATTCCTCCGAAAACCTCTAACCTGCTGAATCATCTCAGGAGAAGGCAAACTGACTTGTGCCAAACTACCTTAACAACATCGGCTGGAGCATTTCGAGATAGATTCCAAATAGGCTTAAATCTGACTCGACTGGGAATAAGTGACATGTGGATACACCATCCCCCGCTGCTTCTGTACAAAAGGCTGTGTACAACCAAATTATTGTGAGACGTTTCTGGAGCTGCTCTGATGAGGTAAAGCACTAGACTGTATGAGAGGCTTTGCATTTTGTTTCGCTCCTTGCCATTCCTCCTTCATCAACAAAACATCGCAGATGGTCAAAAGGCTTTTTTAAAGCAACCTAACATTATCTGATCCAGGTAGGAACTGAGAAAATAATTGCGGAGTTTCTAATGTTCCTCAATCAATAATTTGATTGAACAGTCATTTTTAAGGTATTTTTGAGAAATTAATAAAAACAGAATAAAATCAATTCAAAATGAGAGCGATTGCTACATTAAACACACAGACAAGCAGTCTTTCATTTTCATATATAAAAGAGTCTCTCTCGATATTTTGAGACGTTAATAAAGTGAGAATTGTTCCTAAACAAAGTGATTGTGGAATAATTAATACTGGAAAATAGGGAGAAGGTAGATGAATTGAAACAGGTAATTTGCATCAGGTTTTATTGGAGGAAATAGGATGGATCCCAGAAATAGGCGTAAATCAGGAAGTGGAAAGGAAGAAAGTAAATGACAATCCCCGGAAATGATCCTAATACATTGTTGGAGCTGCTGGTTGATACATGCCTGCTCCCGGATGGACTTCATCCAAAGGGTTTTCATAGAAGTGGCTAGTGAGAGAAACACAAAAATTGCCGGAGAAGTTCAGCAGGTCTGTGAAATAACCAAGTCACCCTTTATTTACATGTACACAGTACACTGGCTATGGTCCAGCCAGCTCAGAGTCAGTCAGTGATGTGAGGAAATTCTGAATCTCCTGTTTATATCTGTCGCCCAGGGCTCCCTGATTGGCCCAGGTTAACAACCCCAATCAAGGATCTCATAGTCAATGGATCCACCTGGTTCCAATCGCTACAGTCTGGAAACAACCAGATATCACTTTTTGAGTCTGATATGACTTCTTCAGAACTGAAAGGAGTTGGATTTCTTTTTAAATACTTTTGACAGAGGTGGAGGAGGGGTGAAGGGAATAGGTGATGGTCGAGGCCCCAGTGTAAAAGTGTTAATGATGGAGAACAAAAGAAAATGGAACATAGGTGTATATCAAGGTGCCAAAGACAGAGAATGGGTCTTCTGTACAGAGAGCAAAGTAAACAAAACATAAACAAGACAAGGCTGGGGCTGGGGTGTAGTAAAAATGGAGAGCAGACGTAAAATAGTCAGTCTCTGAAGTTGTGCATTTCAATGCTGAGCTCTCGTGGCTGTAAAGAGCTTCAGTGGAGAGTGAGGTGTTGCTCATTGAGCTTATGTTGTGCTTCAAGTCTCTACAAATATCTAAAATGAAAAAGAGTGGCTATGGGAAAAATTGGTCCTTTAGAAGATGAGAAGGGGGATTTAATAATGGGAAATGAGGAAATAGCCAAGGCATTGAGCAGGTATTTTGTGTCAGTCTTCACACTGGAGGACATGAATAACATGCCAGTAATTGATGACAAGGAGACTAAGGTAGGTGAGGACCTAGAAATGATCATCATCATGAAAATGGTAGTGTTGGGCAAGCTAATGTAGCTAAAGGTAGACAAGTCTCCTGGCCCTGATAGAATTCATCCTAGTGTACTAAAAGAAATGGCAGAAGAAATAGCAAATGCACTCATGATAATTTTCCAAAATTTGCTGGACTCTGGGGCAGGTCCAGCAGATTGGAAAACGGCAAATGTTATGCTCCTGTTTAAAAAATGAGGTAGACAAAAGATGGGGAATTATAAGTCGGTTAACTTAACTTCTGTAGGGGGATATGCTTTAATCTATGATCAAGGAAGAAATAGCAAGATATTTAGATAGAAATTGTCCCATTGGGCAGAAGCAGCATGGGTTCATGTTTAACTAATTCACTGGAATTCTATGAAGACATTACAAGCGCGGTGGACAACAGGGACCCAGTAGGTGTGGTCTATCTGGATTTCCAAAAGGCATTCAGCAAGGTGCTGCACAAAAGGCTGCTACATAAGATGAAGGTGCACAGCGTTATGGACAATGTGTTAGCAGGGATCGAGGATTGGTTAACTAACAGGAAGCAAAGAGTGGGGATAAATGAGTGCTTTTCTGGTTGGCGATAAGTGACTAGTGGTGTGCCTCAGGGATCAATGTTGGGACTGCAATTGTTGACAAGTTACATAGATGGTATGGAGTTGGGACCACATGTAGTGTGTCAGTGTGCAGAGGACTCAAAGTTTGCAGAGGGATATAGATGGTTCAAGTGAGTAGGCAAAGGTCTGGCAGATGGAGTACAATGTTGATAAATGTGAGGTCATCCATTTTGGTAGGAATAACAGTAAAAAGGACTATTACTTGAATGGTAAAAATTTGCAGCATGCTGCTGTGCAGAGGGACCTGAGTGTCCTTGTGCATGAATCACAGAAGGTTGGTTTGCAAGTGCAGCAGGTAATTAAGAAGGTAACGGAATTTTGTCCTTGATTGCTAGAGGGATTGAGTTTAAAAGCAGGGAGGTTATGTTACTGCTGTACAGGGTGCTGGTGAGGCCAGGCCTAGAGTACTGCGTGCAGTTTTGGTCTCCTTACTTTTGAAAGGATGTACTGGCACTGGAGGGGGTGCAGAGGAGGTTCACTAGGTTGATTCCAGAGTTGAGAAGGTTGGATTAGAGGAGAGACTGAGCAAACTGGGATTATATGCATTGGAATTTAGAAGAATGAGGGGAAGGGAATTATGAAGGGAATAGATAAGATAGAAGGGAGGATGTCTCTACTGGTGGGTGAAACTAGAATAAAAGGGCATCAGCTATAAATGAGGAGGAGCAGATGTAGGACTGAATTCAGGAGGAACTGCTTCACCCACAGGGTTGTGAATCTGTGGAATTCCCTGCCCAGTGAAGTAGTTGAGGCTTCCTCATTGAATGTTTTTAAAGCTAAGGTAGATAATTTTTTGAACAGTAAAGGAATTAAGGTTTATGGTGAGTGGGTAGGTGAGCGGAGCTGAGGCCATATAAAGATCAGCCATGATCTTATTGAATGGCGGAGCAGGCTCAAAGGGCCAGATGGCCCACTCCTGCTCCTGGTCCTTATGTTCATTGGGACATTGCATCAGGCCCAGGACAGAAGTATTAGCGTGAGAGCATGGTGGATTATTGAGATGGTAAGCAACTGGAAAGTTAGGCTTGTTTCTACAGACACAGTGAAGGTGTCCCATAACCGGTCATTGAGTCCATAATATTTATGGCTCATTGGGGATGGGCAGGGAGACAGATGGGTGCATAAAGACCAATTGGGCATGTCTCCCATATCTGTTATCCCAGAGGTAGAATAAGGGAGAGAGTGAATCGAGCACACCTCTGCCATTGTGAGCAGGTATATCCAGGCTGGCCTGTTAAAGACATATTTCGGGGAATACCTGAAATTTCCCAGCCATCACTAGGCCCCTGAGGTATCTTGGGAAAAGGTTGCCACCTGGAAGCAGCCTTTTAGTAATGGGCCTGCACACCAGGCTGCCTGAGGCTCTCCCTGTCTGCCTTCCAGCTGCAGCTATTGGCCACCCAGGGGTCGGGGGTAGCGGTTCTGAACTGGCCACTAATGGCTCCTTGGTTTGAATTTTTAAAGGTCAGAGAGGTGCAACTCTTCCTGTATTCTCCAGAGCCTTCTATTGGCCCATTGGTTTAATTGGATGAAAGGCCTGTCCTCTGGCTATTAACTGGTCCACATCCAATTGGGAAAAAAAATGGTGGGTAGTGATTATTTCCAAAACAGAGTGGGCTTCAGATCCCAATTTCTGCCAGACATATGTGAAAGAGTGTGTTGGAGCAAGGGAATGTGTGAGTGAGAGACAGAGAGAGAGAGGGAGTGTGCGGGAGAGAGACAGAATCTGTGTGAGAGAGAGAGTGTGCGGGAGTGGGAATGAGTGAGAGAGCTTGTGTGGGTATGTGTGGGAGTGAGAGTGTGTATGTGACTGAGGGTGTGTGTGGTGGTCAGAGTGTGTGTATGTGCGTGTGTGTGAGAGAGAGAGAGTGACAGAGAGAGAGAGAGAGAAAGAGGGAGTGTGTGTTGGAGAGAGTGTGTGGGAAAGAGAGAGTGGGAGTGAACGCGTGGGTGTAGGAATTAGAGTTTGTGTGTGAGTTCTGAGGAAGGGTCACCGGACCCGAAACGTTAACTCTGTTTACTCCTCCACAGATGCTGCCAGACCTGCTGAGCTTTTCCAGCAACTTTGTTTTTGTTCCTGATTTACAGCATCCGCAGTTCTTTTGGTTTTTATTAGAGTTTGCGTGTGTGTTTGAATGTAGAATGCTAGTAGTGAAATAATAATGAAGTAGACTTTTTTTACAAGGTTAATAGCCTCTCATTCTCTCGAGCAGGAGATTAATATTTCTTGGTTGTTGATAATATTTGAGTGTACTCTACCTGCTGCAAGAACATGAAAATATCCCAGATACATGAATCATAGCATAACCTCAAACCCTTATGAGCAAAGGCGAAAATTGAAGAGAAGATTATCAAGGTGAGAGTGTTACTTTCATTTCCTGTTGGTGCTAAATGTGCTTAACAAAACTTCAGTTTTGAAAATGAGAATTCTTACCTTTGGCAGAATCCCTGAGCTGTGGAGTGTTCATCGGATTCCGATTTGATTTCACTCGAACGGGCTTTGCAAAGAAGATAGATTCCTGGCTGTTGTTCTTTCTTCCTTTCCTCTTTATCATCTGAGGTGAGACAAGGATTTGACCTGTTCCTGCATCTCCTGTTGACTGGACTCTCCTCTTATCTGACTGGAAATAGATTAGGATCTTCCTTTATGTTATATTTGCAAAACTGCTTCCACTCCACTTTTCTGTATCTCATTCCCAGGATGTGGGTGTTGCTATCTGAGCTACCACATGTCTATCACCTCAATTACTGTGGAGAAAGTGGGTCTGAGTTCCCTTCCTGAACCACTGCAGTGCGTGTGCTATATATACACCCACCATGCTGTTAGGAATGGATCTCCCTGTATCTTTTGATTATTTTCTCTCCAGTATACACATCTGGCCTCCCCTTTAATGAATCTTGATTTCAGGAGATTTCTCCACAGAGTGGTGAGCCCTTTTTAGGCCCCACTAAGGAAGATGCAGAATTCTGATATGTCCTTTTAAATTTCCAAATATATAAAAGCAAAATACAATGGATCCTGAAAATCTGAAATAAGAAACAGAAAGTGCTGGAGAAACTCAGCAGGTCTGGCAGCATCTTTTGAGAGAGAAACAGTTCTTTTTGGCAATTCCAGCCCAGTAATCTTAGATTCATTGGAACACCTCACCCATTGCCCTGGTTTAACACAGAGCAGTGCGAAAGGAAGGGCGAAAGAGGAAAACCAAAGAATTAGAGACCAGTTAGCTTAACACCTGTGGTGGGAAATTGTTGGAGTCTATAATCAGGGACGGGGTAAGCGAACATCTTAAAGTTTCTGTTAATCAGGGAGAGCCAGCATGGATACACAACAGGTAGGTCATTCCTGACAAACCTCCCTGAGTTTTTTGAAGAGATGACTGATGTAGTGGACAGGAAATGTCTATGGATGTCATTCTGATGGGCTTCCAGAAGGCATTTGATAAAGTCCCACATAGGATGCTACAAACTGAGGACAAATTACTGATGTGGCTGGGAAATTGGTTGAGTGGCAGACAACAGAAAGTAGGAATTATGGGCAGGTATTCAAATTGGCAGGATGTGACCAGATGTGACCAGGTCCCATACGGATCTGTACGAGGGCCTCAATTGTTCACATTATTTATTAACAATGTGAATAATGACATAAAAAGTCACATATCCAAATTTGCTGGTAACACAATATCAGGTGGCATGGTAGGCAGTGTAGATAATAGCATAAAATTACAAAAGGACATTGACAGATTAGATGAATGGGCAAAACTGTGGCCAACAGAGTTGAATGTAAGTAAGTGTGAGGTTATTCACTTTGGACTGAAAAATGATAGATCAGAGTACTTTCTAGATGGTATGTAACTAAATGCAGTGGGTGTCTATAGAGACTTGGGGGTTCAGATGCAGAGATCTTTAAAATATCACAAACAAATACAGAAAATAATCAGGAAAATTAATGGAATGCTGGCCTTTATATCCAGAGGACTGGAGTACAAGGATGCAGGCATTAACCTGCAGTTACACAAAACCCTGGTTAGACCCCACTGGGAGGACTGTGAGCAGATCTGGGCACTATCCCTTAGGAAGGATACATTGGCCTTGGAGGGAAGTACAATGTGGGTTTACAGGAATTGTACCCAGACTTCAGGGGTTAGGTTAGAAAGAGACATTATACGAATTAAGCTTGTTTTGTCTAGAATTTAGAAGGTTAAGAAGTGATCTATTCAAAGTTTTCAAGGTATTAACAGGAAAAGACAGGATAAGACCTGTACAAGAACGATGGTTTGCACCTGAACTGGAGGGGCACCAATATCCTGGGCGAGAGGTTTGCTAGAGCTCTTCAGGAGGGTTTAAACTGGTGTGGCAGTGGGGTAGGAACCAGAACAACAGGCCAGTAAGTGCAGGGACTGATGGCAAAAGAGAAACTGAGATATGCATAGCACAGAGTAAAAGCAGGCAGAGGGAAGTCACAGGGCTCAGAGGGACTGGAGGTCTGGGGTGTATTTACTTCAATGCAAGAAGTATAACAGATAAGGCAGATGAACTAAGAGTATGGATTACTGCTTGGAATTATGATGTTATTGCCATTATGGAGACATGGTTAAAAAAGGGGCAGGGCTGTCAGCTTAATATTCCATGATATCGCTGTTATAGACGGGACAGAAAGGGAAACAAAAGGGGTGGGGGAGTTGCATTGCTGATTAGGGATCACATCACAGCCAGGTTGAGGGAGGATGCATCGGAGGGATCATACAGTGAGGCATTATGGGTGGAGCTCAGGAATAGGAAGGGTGAAATCACCATGCTGGGAGTTTTCTATAGACCTCAAAACAGCCCATGTCAGACAGAGAAGCAGATATGTAGTCACAGACTGGAAAGGTGTGAAAAAAGCAGGTAGTTGTGGTGGGTGACTTCAATTTTCCTCTTATTGACTGGGACTCTCTTAGAGCCAGGGGCTCGGATAGAGAGCAATTTGTTAGGTGTGTCCGGGAGGGCTTTTTGAGACAAGTATGTTGACAATCCAAACAGAGGGGAGGCCATACTAGACTGGGCATCAGCGAATAAGCCAGGACAGGTGATCAATGATTCAGTAGGAGAGAATTTTGGGCTTAGCAACTATAACTCTGTATGATTTTGAGTAGTCATGCACAAGGACGAGAGTGGTACTCGGGTGAGGGTGTTTAATTGGGCAAGGGCCAATTATATCCACAGTAGACAGGAACTGGGGAATGTGGATTGGGAGCAGTTATTTGAGGGCAAATCTACATCTGGCATGTGGGAGGCTTTTAAAGACCAGTTGATTAAAGTATAGGATACACGTGTCCCTGCAGCACTGAAGCATAGGAATGGAAGGATCCAGGAACCATAGATGACAAGGGAAGTTGTAAACTTCATCAAAAGGAAAAAGGAAGCATACGATAGGTCTAGACAGCTACAAACTGACAAAGCCCTTGAGGGGTATAGAGAAATTAGGAAGGAACTTAAACGCAGAATTAGGAAGGCTGAAAGGGGCCAGGAAATGTTTTTCACAAACACAGTCAAGGAGAATCCCAAGGCTTTTTATGCCTATATTAGAAGAAAGAGGGTAGTAAGGGAAAGAGTAGGCCCTCTCAAGAAAAAAGGAGGCAAGTTATGCGTGGAGCCACAGGAAGTGAGAGAGTTCCCTCATGAGTACTTTGTACTGGTATTCACCAAGGAGAAGGACATGACTGATGTTGAGGTCAGGGAGGAGTGTGTGAACACTCCACAGAGTGTCGATATATTAAAGGAGGAAGTTTTGGATATCCTAAATTGCATTAAGGTAGACAAGTCCCCAAGGCCAGGTGGGATCTATCCCAGGTTACTGTGAGAGGCAAGGGAAGAAATAGCTGGAGCATTAGCAGATATCTTCACATTCTCTTTGACCACAGGTGAGATTCCAGAGGACTGGAGATAAGTGAATGTTGTTCCCTTGTTTAAGAAAGGAAGCAGGGATAATCCTGGAAATTATAGGCCAGTGAGTCTGACATCTGTGGTGGGGAAGCTCTTGGAGAAGATACTGAGGGACAGGATATATGCACATTTGGAAGAAAATGGACTAGTTAGGGTCAAGCAGCATGGTTTTGTACAGGGCAGGTCATGTCTCACCAACGCGATTGAATTTTTTGAAGAGGTGACAAAGATGATTGATGAGGGAAGAGCTGTGGATGTAGTTCATATGGACTTTAGTAAGGCATCTGATAAAGTCCCACATGGCAGATTGGTACAAAAACTAAAATCACATGGAATTTGGGGTGGGCTGGCTAGATAGATACAAAACTGGATTGGTCATAGAAGACAGAGGGTAGTGGTGGAAGGTTGTTTTTCAGAATGGAGTCCGGTAACTGGTGGTGTTCCACAGGGATCAGTCTTAGGTCTTTGTTGTTTGTAGTATATATAAATGATCTGGAGGAAAATGTGGGCAGTCTGATTATTAAGTTTGCTGTTGACATGAAGATTGGTGGAGTTGCTGATAGTGCCGATGATTGTGAAAGGATACAACAGGATATAGATAGATTGGTGATTTGGGCTCAGAAATGGCAGATGGAGTTTAATCCAGACAAAAGTGAGGTGATGCATTTTGGAGGATCAAATTTAGGTGTGAATTATACTGTAAACGGCAGAACCCTTGGGAAAGTTAATGTACAGACGGATCTGGGTGTGCAGGTCCACAGTTTCCTGAAAGTGGCAACACAGGTGGCCAAAGTGATAAAGAAGGCATATGGCATGCTTGCCTTCATTGGCCGGGGCATGGAGTACTAGAGTTGGCAAACCATATTGCAGCTGTAAAACTCTCGACAGGCTGCATTTTGAGTATTGTGTGCAGTTTTGGTCACCACGTTACCAGAAGGACTTGGAAGCTTTGGAGAGAGTGCAGAGAAGGTTCACCAGAATGTTGCCAGTCTCGAGAGCATTGGCTATGAGGAAAGGTTAAAAAGACTGGAAAGACGTCGGCTGAGATGAGACCTGATAGAGGTCTACAAAATTATGAGAGGCACTGATAGGGTGGATAGTCAGAGGCATTTTCCCAGGATTGAAGTTTCAATTACAAGAGGGCACAGGTTCAAGGTGAGAGGGGGAAAGTTTAAGGGAGATGTGTGAGGAAAGGTTTTCACACAGAGAGTGGTAGGAGCCTGGAATACACTGCCAGAGGAGATGGTGGAAGCAGGCTCATTGGCAACATTTAAGAGGCATCTGGATGGTTACATAAATAGGGAGGGAATAGAGGGATACAGACCAAATAAGGGCAGAAGGTTTATTTTTTAGTTTAGTCAGGGCATGATAATCGACACAGGCTTGGAGGGCCGAAGGGCCTGTTCCTGTGCTGTCCTGTTCTTTTGTTCTTCTATTTCCACTGATTGGGGATTCTAGAACTGGGGACATAGCCTGAAAATTATGGTCAGGCTGCTTAGGAGAGATGTTAGGAAGCACTTCGGCACATAAAGGGTGAGAGAGGTTTGGAACTCTCTTCCACAAGTGACAGTGGATGCTGGGTCAGTATTTTAATTTTAAATCTGAGGGAGATACATTTTTGTTAAGTAAAGGTATTAAGGGATATGGGCCAAAGGCAGGAATATGGAGTTTGGCCACAGATCAGCCAGGATCTCATTGACTGGTAGAACAGTCTTAAGGGGCTGAATGGCCTCCTCCTGTTCCTGTGTTGCATTCCACCTCAGGGAAGAGCCCATTTATCCATCAGGAAAACTGGTTTCTAATGTTTGGATAGATGTAGAATAAAGGGTGCATGACAAAAGTAATAAAATCACAGACCAATTTTATTAAAACCCCTCTCACGTCTGCACTGGTTTTCTGGTTAATTCCAATGCTTCTTGCTCGGTGGTTCCCTCTGGTGGTGAGAGGAGTAGTTGCCTCTCCTGTGTTGTGATTCCACCACATGATAAACACTGCTCAATAAAATAGATTTGGTAATAAACAGATTATCACTGCAAGGAAGTATTTGCTAGAAGATCACCATCCTTCATTGTAAATGCTGAGGAAGTGGGAAACCTTATTCTGTGAGGCTAAGCCTGTGTGATCATTACCTTAACAGTTGAAGGCAGCGGTGCAGAATCACTGACTCCATCTTGGGACAGAGCATAGTCCTTCACACACCAGAAACAAACAAGGGAAAATAATTAGTGGCACAATGTTTGTTTTTCATTTTTATGTCTAAATTAAAAGACCATAGTGCCAATCTCTATAAAAGTTAAATTACATTTAAACACGTGTACTGAAAGCTGTTTCTCAAACTGTTGGAACATTTTCTCAATCTTGTAATTTCAAAAGAAGACAGTTTTTCAAGGTTTACAAGTGAACAACAACTATTTGGGTGAGGTGTTGAAGACATCTGTCTGTCTCAATAATGATTAATGAAACAGTGATGGTAGAAGTGTAAACTGGAAATGTATACGAGCTGAGAAGGAGCCATAATGTACAAAGGAGCACAGGTAGCTCTCTTTTAGGGAGAGCAATAATTGGTTACACACAGCTTGAGGGTAACCAGTCCACAAGTGTGAGATAAGGTGAAGAGGAAGGCTTCCATGAAGGCAGTACAGCAATCGAATCAACACTCTCAATTAAACTATTTGTAATCAAACCGTTCAGTGTTATTACTCACTTCCAGAGCAGGTTGTACTTGAACTTTGTCTGCTGGCTCAGAGGTAGTGACACTACCACCTGGACCAGAAAAACACTAATTTTCCTCTCTATTTTCTGTACCATACTCTAGTCATCTAACCAATTGAACAAACCAACCAACTACATACAAACAGGATTCAGATTAGATGAGATTATAATGAGCTGTGAATTATAGCTGTGTGTTCGTGGATATGTCATGTATGATTTACTGCTGGAATGATAACAATAGTAATTACAGAACATATTGTCTATTAAAGATGAGGTTTTGACATTGGGCAAGAATTTTTATTATTCAATCCAGCATTTAAACACATGGATCAGAAAATTTCCTAGTTACAATTATACAATCCTTCTGCACTTAATAGGAGTTGGGCAGAATATTTCTGTAGTCCTGGACATCTAAACATTGACAGAAATATTCTGCCCAACTCCTATTAAGTGCAGAATTATTGTACAATTGTAACTGGGATATTTTCTGATCCATGTGTCTAAATGCTGGATTGAATCCATTTGCCACATTATATAATGCATTCATTTAACAATTCTGCTTAAATTGAAATTATGGACTTGACCTCTCCCATTTGCTGCTATTTGCAAAAGCCATTGCAAGAGGGAAACACAGTCTGCATTAACATGGTGACTACCAGCCTAGGACTCAGGAGGAAGGTGGAGCTATTAGCAAATGCAGCTATTAAATATTAACATAAGTAAATGTAAAGATGATACCCCCATCACAAATAGAATTCAGTGACCCTGCATTTTGAACAGTTTGAATGAGCTTAATATGAAATTCCATTTGTCAACACAATTTATAGAAACCTTTGCCATCAGTCATCACCTGACTTAGAAAAGGCTGCCAGCTTCTTGGCTTTGTTAAAAGAGCAAACAGACTATTTTTTACCTAAATACACAAGACAATTTACTAAAAATAATACAGGAGCTTTGAGCACTAAGTATTTCTTCCAGTTTAGATTTAGATTTATTTAATATTGCCACTTGTACCTAAGTACAATGAAAAGTGGATAATGTCACCACATTCTGGCACCATCTTGGGTTTCAGAATAAGTTACTGAATAAATTGTGTAAATGGTAAAATACTGAATAAATTAATATTACTAAAACCGAAACAGCTTCAAAAGTTCATCTTTTCCTCTCCGTAGACTTCACCCTCTCTGCTCCTCCAGTCACCACCATCTGACATTGTTCCCGAGATCCTGGCAATGCGCGCCTTTCCTGCCACCATCAGCATCATCGCTTCTGCGTCTGCCAGCTCCGAGCTGAAGACAGTCACACTGCACAGGTCCTACACCTCCTCCAACGCCGGTCATCGACAGGTTCCTGGCTCCGGGTCAACCGATGGGTCGACCAAAGGGGCCCTGGCTTGTATTCGGATGGTACCACCCGAGATGGAGCGGGGATGTAGATACGTGGGTATATGATGTTATAGGATTATTCAAGTCTTTTTAGACCCATAATGAATAGAAATTGACTACTTGGAATCAAAATGACTTTGTTACTGATTGTGTAGTGTTTCAGAAATAGAAACATAGAAAATAGGAATGGGAGTAGGCTATTCAGTACCCTGAGCCTGTTCCGCCTTTCAGTATGACCATGGCTGATGATCCTATACTGTACCATATCCTGGCTTTCTCCCCATACCCTTTGACCCCTTCAGCTAAGAACAATCCCTAAGAACTATCTCTAATACCTTCTTGAAAACATTCAATGTTTTGGCTTCAACCACTTTTTCTGGCAGTGAATTCCACAGGCTCCCCACTCTCTGGGTGAAGACATTTCTCCTCATCTCAGTCCTGAATGACCTACCCTGTGTCCCGAGACTGTGTCCCCCTCCCCCCAAGACTGGACTCCTTGGTGATCAGGAATATCCTTCATACATTTCTTTTTAATTCATTCATGGGATGTGGGCATCACTGTCTAAGTCAACATTTACTGCCCATCTCTAATTGCCCAGAGGGCAGTTAAGAGTCAACCACATTGCTTTGGGTCTGGAGTCACATATAAGCCAGACCAAGTAAGGATGGCAGATTTTCTTCACTAAAGGACATTAGTGAACCAAATGAGTTTTTCCTGATAATTGAATTCAAATTCTACCATCTACCATGGCAGGATTCGAACCCAGATTCCGAGAGCATTACTTGGGTCTTTGGATTAATAGCCGACTGATAATACCACTAGAACATTGCCTACCCTGTGACAGGACTAGACATTTACCCTGTCTAGTCCTGTTAGAGCTTTATAGGTTTCTAAGAGATTTCCCCCACTCTTTCTTCTAAACTCTAGTGAATGTTGTCCTAACCAATCCAATCTCTCTGCATAGTCAATCCTGCCATTCCAGGAATCAGTCTGGCAAACCACCATTGCACTCCCTCTATGGCCAGAACATCCTTCCTCAGGTAAGGAGACCAAAACTGCCCACAATTTCTGAAGAAGGGTCTAGACCCGAAACGTCAGCTTTCCTGCTCCTCTGATGCTGCTTGGCCTGCTGTGTTCATCCAGCTCTACACCTTGTTGTCTCACAATACTCCAGGTGCGGTCTCACCAAGGCCCTGTATAATTTCAGCAAGACATCCCTGCTCCTGTACTTGAACCCTCTCACAATGAAGACCAACATACCATTTGCCTTCTTTACCGCCTGCTGCACCCGTATGCTTACCTTCAGCAACCGGTGCACAGGGACACCCAGATCTTGATGCGTCTCCCCCTTTCCCGTTACATCACCATTCAGATAATAAGGCTGCCTGCCTGTTTTTGTGATGAAAGTGGATAACCTCACATTTAACCATGTTATATTTCATCTTCCATGCATTTGCCCACTCACTGAACTTGTCCAAATCACATTGAAGCCTCTCAACGTCTTTCTCACAGCTCACCCTCCCATGCAGCCTTGTTTCGATCACAATCAGCCAAGGTTTTTCATTTATACTCAGTTGGTGATGATTTACCTCTTTGCTGTGATTCTTGTATTTGACCATTTGTTGATGCCTGTAAAAGGAATATTCATATCGCAATTATTTTCTGTTTCTCCCCATATGAAATCTTCGTTAAAAGATCCATTAAGAGTCAGTGTGTCTTTTTTCTGAAGTCTATGTTCATGTTCACATTTGCAGATGTGGTTGAACAGTTTTCATTTTACTGCATTGAAGATATGAGGCAGACAACAATCCCACTTGGCTGAACTCAAATTCCCTTATAATACCCCGAAAATGCATCTCAATGCAGATCATCTTAGCTAATATTCCTGACACAAGAATTCAACGGAGAAAGACATTCCTGGCAGAGGATCAGTGGAGAGGGCATGGAGCATTCCAGAAGAAGCATCCTGGTTGTAATTTCAAGAGATTACGTTTTAATCAGTTTTAAATTATTATTTTGGTTTATATAAGTGGGACTTCTATTAATTGGAACAGCATACCTTTAGAATTTTGTTTTATTCAGGAATAGTTAGTAGTTAAGAAGGGAATTGTTCAGTTTATTAGTAGTTCTGTTAATTTGTTCACTGTTAGAGTTAGATAAATAAATTGTTACTTGTGGTTTATAAAGTGAGTATCAGGGATTTCTTTCATTTAGCCTCTCCTTTATGACAGATTGGGGGATGAGAGGCAGGCTATACCACTTTTCACATTTCCTTTAACAGGTTACAAGGTGAGAGAGGAGTGGCAGGATCAGACAGAGTCAGCATGGATTTAAGAAGGGGATATCATGCTTGACAAATCTGTTGGAATTCTATGAAGATGTAGCTGGTAGAGTTGACAGGGAGGAGCCAGTCAATGTGGTATATTTGGACTTTCAGAAAGCGATTGACAAAGTCCTATATAAGAGGTTATTGTGCAAGATTAAAGCATATGGGATTGGGGGAAGAGCACTTGAAGCAGATAAAAAAACTGGCTGGCAGAGAGGAAACAAAAAGTAGGAATTAATGAGTCCTTTTCAAATTGGCAGGCTGTAACTAGTGGGGTGCCACAGGGATCGGTGCTGGGACCACAGCTATTCCCAATATATATTCATGATTTGGATAAGGGAACAAAATGTAACACCTCAAAGTTTGCACATGATACCAAGTTGGGTGGGACAGTGAATTGTGACGACGATGCAGAAATCCTTCAGCATGTCCTCGACAGTTTGGGTGAGTGAGCAAATCAATGGCAGATGCAGTATAATGTGGATAAATGTGAGGTTATTCACTTTGGAAGCAAAAACAAGAAGGCAGATTACTACCTGAATAGCTGTAAATTGGGAGAGGAGAGTGTGCAGTGGGACCTGGGTGTCCTTGTGCACCAGTTGCTGAAGGTAAGCATGCAGGTGCAGCAGGCGGTAAAGAAGGCAGATGGCATGATGGCCTTCATTGCGAGAGGTTACCAGTACAGGAGCAGGGATGTGTTGCTGCAGTTGTACAGGGCCTTGGTGAGACCATACCTGGAATATTGTGTGCAGTTTTGGTCTCCTTTTCTGAGGAAGGATGCTCTTGCTCTCGAGGGAGCGCAGCGAAGGTTTACCAGGCTGATTCTGGGGAAGGCGGGACTGAAGTTTAAGGAGAGATTGACTAGGTTAGGATTGTCTTCGCTGGAGTTCAGATGAATGAGGGGGGATTTCATAGAGATTTATAAAATTCTAACAGGACTGGACAGGGTAATTGCAGGGAGGATGTTCCCGATGGTGAGTGTGTCCTGAACCAGGTGTCACAGTCTGAGGATTCGGGGTAGACCATTTAGGATGGAAATGAGGAGACATTTCTTCACCCAAAGAGTGGTGATCCTTGGAATTCATTACCACAGGAAGTAGTTGATGCCAAAACATTGAATGTATTCAAGAGGTGACTAGATATAGCACTTGGGGTGAATGGGATCAAAGGTTATGGGGAGAAAGCAGGATTAGGTATTGAGTTGGACGATCAGACTCGAAGGGCTGAATGGCTGGATCCTGCTCCTATTTTCTATGTTTCTATGTATCTAACTCAGAGTCTCACAGACAGAGGAGGAGTACCTTTCCTATAGCATTTCTTTAGCTTAGAGATTTCAGGGAAAGAAAATATTAACAACATATTTAGCTACAAATAAAATCAAGTCATCCACTTTGTGTTACTATGTTCCTGGCCAATGCTTAGCCTATAGTTTACAGTATTAACTCATATTAAACCTATGTCAAAAAGGTCCATTTTAGCCATTTGGACTTGCTTCCTGTGTTCCTATTAGACGAGAGGTTTGTTGTCCACTGTGTTTGTTGCACTGTATGTGGTAGAGTTTGTAAAATGTCAAGAAGCTCTTGCCCTTTCATAAGATGGAATGAATTCAAAAACGTTGTCAGTGCAACATGACATAAAGCACAGCTCCAGCAGCTGATGATATAAACATGAAGGTCTGGTCAATTGCTTATTATAATTCATGGTGTCAGTGCATTGACTTGTTTAGATCAATCTGGCACCCATTACTCATTGTTTAGTATCTTTAATCTGAACAATATGGTCTGATGCCAGTTCAACAAAGACCTGGGAATGCAGAGCTTTGTGTGATTTAGGAGGATACAATTCAGTTTACAGTCTAGGCTTTATGAAGTAAAACATACATTCACCCATTTATCAATGTAAGTAGAATTTCAGCTCCAACTAGTCACTTCAATGTAATTTGCATCAAAGTGAGAGAGTTGAACTGAGTTAGTAAGACAGCAGAACAATACAAAACCAAGTGCATGAACTGAAATTACCTGTAAGTATTTTGTGATGGCATTTTGCAAACAAGGAGTTTAAGGTAAGGAAGATGTTTGAACTTCTCAGATCCCACAGCTACATAGTACTCTCCACTCTCCAACTGCTCCCCACTGTCTATAATCTGTCCACTCATCGTACAAAGTCTACAGAAAATAAAATACTTTTCATTGAGGCTGAAATACACCTGAATGAGATACCAATAATGTCTTTTTTTCAAAAAATACAAATGCACAATGTAATAATAGGGCAACAATGCAAAAGAATATTGAAAATGATATTCTACATTCCAGTGCTCTGGTTGGCTGGAGGCAAATGGAATGATTGAAAGGCTCACCAATGTCACTCCATCTGTATATTTACAGCAATCACATCATCCAGTCATGACATGGAGGTGCCGGTGTTGGACTGGGGTGGACAACGTCAGAACTCACACGACACCAGGTTATAGTCCAACAGGTTTGTTTGAAATCACAAGCTTGCGTAGCGCTGCCCCTTTGTCAGGTGACTTTGCCTAATGAAGGAGCAGGGCTCCGAAAGCTTGTGGTTTCTAATAAACCAGTTGGTCTATAACCTGGTGTTGTGTGACTTCTGACACCATTATGTCAAATTACTGTTGAGATGAGCTTCAATAATAATTTAATTCCAAACTCTGTTCTCCTGTCGCGTCTCTATTGAATCTTCACGTTAAAAAACACAGTTAAAGAAAAGTTAAACAGAGACATCCCGCTCAGAATAGCTTAACTATTAACCAGCATTTACAGCAGCAAAAGTTACAACAGCTCGCACCTGTAAATCACTTTGAACAAAGAAAGACTGCCAGGCTGTTTACACAAACACAAGCAAATGCACCTTTTAAATTTGAGGCACTGGGAGTGGAGGGGGATCAGTGGTACCAGGAGCCAAGATTAGCCCATGTGGAAAGGACAATAGGTAAGCGACAGTTCAACTGGGACAGGGTCTGGGTACAGAGTTGAAATTTATTGACAGTGAAGATATGAAACTGACCCTGAGCTTTGCAGTAAACCAGGCTGATTGTGATTCAGGTGCAGGCTAGACCTTCAGTGCAGGTTACTCAGGTAGACATCGGAGAAAGAGGTGGCTTTATGATGGAGGGCAGTGTATGGTCAGAAGCTTCAATCAAGATCTAATATGATGTCACGTTTGCTTCAGATTAGATTGCGTCTCAGGGGTGGTCACCAAACTATGGGAAGGATGTGATTGCACTGGAGGGGCTGCAGAGGGGATTCACCAGGCTGTTGCCTGGGATGGAGCAATTTAGCAATGAAGAGAGGCTGGATAAGCTGGGGTTGTTTTCTTTAGAGCAGAGAAAGTTGAGGGGGTCCTGATGGGGGTGTATAAGATTATAAGGGGCATGTGCAGCATGGATAGAAAGCAGCTGTTTCCCTCAGTTGAAGGGTCAATAACAAGGGACATAGTTCTAAAATGAGAAGCAGGAGGGCACTTGAAGAAAACCATTTTCACCCAGAGGATGTTGGGGGCCTGGAATATCCTGCCTGGCAGGGCAGTTGAGGCAGGAAACCTCACAACGTTTAAAAAAGTGTGTGGATGAGCACGTAAATTGTGAAAACATTCAAGCCAATGGACCAAGTGCTAGAAATTGGGACTAGTGTAGATTTTGAGTAGTTTTTGGCTGAGCAGCTGGATAGGCTGAAAGGCGTGTTTTGTACTGTATCTATCTATGAATAGAGTGGGTGCTGATTAAGTTGGTAGAATCTGTTCTCATCATCAGCAATTGAGGTTTGTATGAAAATTTAAGCCATGAAGAGAAATGTTATATAGAATACACCAAATATGAATCTAACAGTACAGTAAACCATACAGTAAGTCTCACATTTATCTAATTGCACACTCTAAGCACAAAATAGAAATATAACCAAGCTTAATTCCTGCCTAGAAATAAAACAAAATACTGAATGTTGGAATTGTTTCTAACATACAACTATACTTCAAAATATAAACATCAAATCACAGAATGGTCTGGTGTAGAAGGAGGCCATTCAGCACATTGTGCTTTTTTCATTCATTCACAGGATGTGGCTAGGTCAGTATTTATTGACCATCCCTACTTGCCCAGAGGGCAGTTAAGAGTCAACAGTAGTGCTGTGGGTCTGGAGTCACATGTAGGTCAGACCAGGTAAGGACATTAGTGAACCAGATGATATTTTTTCCTGTCAGTCAACAATGGTTTCATAAAAACCAAAAGAACTGCGGATGCTGTAAATCAGGAACAAAAACAAAGTTGCTGGAAAAGCTCAGCAGGTCTGGCAGCATCTGTGAAGGAAAGAACAGAGTTAACATTTCGGGTCTGGTGACCCTTCCTCAGAACTGATAGTGGCTGGGAAAACGTCAGTCTCCTCTCTGTTTTCTGCATATAAACTGACGTTTTCCCAGCCACTATCAGTTCTGAAGAAGGGTCACCAGACCCGAAACGTTAACTCTTGTTTTTCCCTTCACAGATGCTGCCAGACCTGCTGAGATTTTCCAGCAACTTTGTTTTTGAACAATGGTTTCATGGTCATCATAAACATCTTAATTGCAAATATTTGTTGAGTTCAAATTCTACTAGCTGCTATGGCAAGATTCAAACCCAGTTCCCCAGAACATTACCTCGGTCTCTGGATTAACAGCCTAACAATAATACCACTAGACCATCACCTCCCCATCTACACCAGATATCCAAATAAGCATTTTGCGTCAAAGTCACTCTGCTACCTTTTCACCCCAACGTTATCTATACAGATAATTCTCAAATGGCCTCTTACAATATTTCAATTGACTCTTATTCTGCCTCCATTGTAATTCCAGGCAGAGTATTCCATACCCAACCACTCATGGTGTGAAAACATTTTTCCTTATGTTACGTGTTACTTTAGGTTCTCTCTGATACTTGGTTCTGTTACGAGCTGGAACAGTTAGCCATTGTCTACTCTACCTAGCCCTCTCAAGGCTTTACAAACTTCTATCAAGGCTCCTTTTAACCTTCTGCTCTCCATGGAGAACAGTTGAGAACAGCAGATGAGATCTTTCAGATATGGATAGATCTGGCACATTTATAGAACTTTCTTAGCTATAGAGGTTTACAGCACAAATTGAATCCATTCTTTGGAGACTGTTTTTTGAATTGAAACCTGTCTTTTACATAAATTCTATGGCATTAAAATCCATCAGAAACTAATAAATGTTTTACGTTGTTAAAGCCTGGCTTTTACAGGCTTAAGATTCAATAGTTTAACTCTTTGTCGTTTAAAGAGAACACGTGTTGCTATACAATTGTTGCTCTTTATAAATTAATCATGTACCACTAACTTCAGTTCAACAGTGCAAAATCTTTCTCAATCTGCAAGTTGTGATATGAATAACAAAGCTGCAAAATTAAAGTATTCAATGAAAATGAAAATGTGACGCTTTGCAAAAGACAGGATACATTTCCTTGAACAGTTTAGTCCACAACACCTCCCTCCAGAGATGAAGCTCTCTTACTGCAAAGACAGACTGTTGATCTTCCAAGAGTACAGTTTTATCACTGTGATAATGCTATGCAAATGACACAGAAGAAATTAATTATACACCCCCCAGATAGATCAGCCTTTTTGAAGAATATGGAAGAAAAATAACAAGAGAACAATCATATACCACTTCTCAATAGCACCCACCTGTGGACAGCTCCAGTTCGGATCTTTGCTTTCTCAGTTATCATGGCAAGAATCTTATCCCAATTTGTCATTACATGCTTGGGAATAATCAATCGAAAAGGTGGATTCAGCAGATCTCCATTCCTAAAAATACTAGATAAGCAGATTGTTTTGTTCAAAGCTTCCTCCATGAAAAGATTTTTGTGTATTGTTATATGGAATGCCCCTTTAGATCTTCAAATTCCCAAACTATCCATTATTCCCCATGTCATCATTCCACTGAATAGTTGACCATGGTAAAATCCCATCAATGGTGATTAATTTGGACCATCCCATTGATCTTTTCAAGCAGTCTGTGTGGTATCATTCTGACTCCTTCTGGGCATTAAGGATCTGTCAAAATTTATCAAAACAATGGTTGTGAGCAGACTCCAACCTTATGTGTCCTTGTGGGAGTTAGGCTGCCCATGCTTAATGTCTCTGCTGTTGGTCTTTCCCTAAATCACTAGATTAATTGTGCTCAGAAGTAGGAAGAGAGACCAAGGACATGTGCAGTTACATGGTGTCAGGATGCAGTATGGGTATGGGAGATGGCATGAGTGCCACATTTGGAAGCTGGCACAGAAGGGAAGCAGAGTCTGGCATACTGTGGGCAGGGATTGAGTGAGGCAACCAGAACTGCACACCATACTCCAGCTGTGGCCTAACCAACGCTCTGTACATCTCCAACATTACCTCAGAGATAGTAGGAACTGCCAATGCTGGAGTCTGAGATAACAAGGTGAGGAGCTGGATGAACACAGCAGGCCAGGCAGCATCAGAAGAGCAGGAAAGCTGACGTTTCGGGTCTGGACCCTTCTTCAGATTTCTGGAGAAGGGTCCAGAGCCGAAACATCTCAATCTTAATTCCCTGAGGAAGGAGAACAAAATCTCCCAAGAAAATTATAGCATTCAAATTGATTGTATTTGATCTTGACGATCCACATTTTAAGGGTGACTTTCTCAAAGTTCCAGCAGGATTTGAGTTGAAATGTTCATGGGTTGGTAATAAAGTGAATTTCAAACCTGTCTGTCCCCCTCTGCCCTCTTTGACCAGTATCAAATAAATTTGGATTAACGCAGTAGGTACACAGTTATACTCCACAACCTGTGAGATTTTGCACATCAGGGAGTGTTGGGCTTGGGAGAGAATACTCTTGAAACAAGATTGGAATTTAAAGAACTAAACTCTGTGATTGAGATTTCTTCTCACCTACAAGTTGATAATGTTTTACGTTCCCAGTGTTACTGAGATGTTCATGAGTAAAAGTAGTTCTGATGTCTTGAGTTCCAGGTTTATGTCCCAGAATAGATGCAAGCCTTCAATCATATCCAATGGGAATTTCTATGAATGATGGGTAGGCTGTTGAGGATGTGAATTGTAGGCAGGGAGAGAAGAGTAGGGAGGGTGAAGACAGGGTGAAAGTGGGGGAGTATGACATGGCTCATCAAATTTCTCATGTGCGTCTAGGCTTTGGCAGAAAATGGATGGTAAATGCCTAAAGATCCAATCTTTTGTAACCAAGTAAAGACTGAAAATTGATTGTAATACTTACTGAACTATACATGGTATTGGAATATGTTTCCTCCATCTGGCTGAGACATTTACTCTGTTGGAATAAACAGCTCTCACCTAAAAACAAATTTAATGGGAAAATCTATTTTAGTAATTGGATCCAGTTCAGTGGATCTACCTTCATTTGTTGCCGATAAGATCAAATGTAGGATCAAGCAACATTTTGCTGGCCCTGTCAAGGCTGTGAAGATTGGAGGAAAGACAAAGTGGAAAAGGAACTCAGTATCAGATGGCATGGCTTTGGGAGTTATATGAAAAGAATTGAGACAGAGAGTGACAAACACACAGTGTACAGTTGTGTATAAAGGATGTGGTTAATTGATTTCATTATTGTCAATTTGCTTGATTTTGTTGTGATTCCTTTGGCAATTTTCACTATCACCTCAGCCTTTCCATTTGACTGGAGATAGTGTGGCGATGTCTTGTGGTGTTGAATTTCTTAATCATTTATGAAGTGACCAAAATCTTTACTCGTGAACTGAGAGCCACTGTCACTCAGGAGAATGGTGGGACTGACATAACAGCTGAAGTTTACTTTCAGGCATTCAACAGTCTCAGTGGGAAGTCAACCATCTCCTGGTTGTCAGTATAGCATTCTACAGTGACAAGTCCTTCAGTTCCTGTGAGTGCAAAGAGATCTGCTCCCAGCTTCATCCAGGGTCTGTCTGTAATGTCATGTACCATTAGTGGTTTTCTAGCTTGGTGGGCTTGGAATTCTTTGCCAGCATGGCACTGTATTCATTGTTCATGTTTGGCCTCTAGAGCACACCTCATACTTTCCCCAGATGACTCAATTCCTTGGTGGTTTGCAAAAGTATGCTTTAACATCTCTCCTCTGATCTCCTTAGGCATAGTGACTCTATTTCTTTTTTATTATATGACGACTTGAGCTGTCAATTCATCTTTGCATTGCCCAGTACAATCTTATAAAAACAGGTGCTGGTGCCTTTTCATCATCCTCACATCACAACTTCTTGTAACACTTAGAGAGTTGCTACCCCTCATTGGATAGTTGACTTGATTTGCCTGCTTTATTCAGGCTGTCTGCTGGGTGGATGATTTCCAGAGCATGATGAGCTGCTGCTTCACATTGAATCCAGAAGTTTTCATACTCTGACGTAGCATCCTCTAGTTTCTTCATTGGGAGCACTGCTCTCGACAGCATTTCTGAAATGTACATCTGCTTCCCTTGCTTGAATGTCACATCCAGATGGTACCTCTGTAACTTTGGAGCAGAAAGTAGTGGCTTGAGGAAAATGGTTTGATACAGATTCAGATTGGACTTGACTGACACTTTATCTCTCCCAAATAAGTATTTATGAAAATCAATCAAAGACCAGCTACTCTTTCTTGATATGGGTATATCGTTATTCTGTTGTGGTAGAGCCCTGGATGCAAATGCAACTAATATCCAGAACACAGTGGTGGTTAGCACTGCTGCCTCACAGTTTGAGTCCACCCTTGGACAACTGTCTGTGTGGAGTTTGCACATTGTCTGTGTGGGTTTCCGCTAAGTGCTCCAGTTTCCTCCCACGGTCACCACATATGTGCTGGGAAAGGGATGGGTCTGGGTGGGATGCTGTTTGGAGGGGTGGTGTGGACTTGTTGGGCCAATTGGCCTGTTTCCACACTGTAGGGATTCTATGACTAGAAAGCTAAAATAAAACAAAGAACTTTGGATGCTGAAGATGGCTTTCTATCAACCATCTCATTGCCTGCCTAACTTTCTGTCTCTCTCTCTGGGCTCCATCTCCACCTATCCACCCATCCTTTTACAAACCCACTCAATCCCTGTCATCAGTTTAAATACCACCTTTTCCAAGCCTGTATCAGTTCAGAAGAAGGGCCACTGGACTCAGAACGTTAACTCTGTCTCTTTCTCCACAGATGCTGCTCGTCCTGCTGAGTTTCTCCTACACTTTCTGTTTTGGTTTTGATTAGAAAGTTGCTGCTTTCACCCAGCTGCATTTGCCAGGAACAATTGAGGGTGGTGAAATTTTTTGCCTTTGTAATTTGTGGCAAAGTTTCTTCAATGGTTTGGTATGGGATAGTGAGACCTCTTAAATTATTTAGGGACTTAGTTAGATCCTTAGGTCCAATGCACACTCTCAACTTCACAGATTGTTTCACTGCTATCATGGGGTTAATCTGTTCTGTGTGAGCCATCTCTTCCTTTTTATTTATTCACTTGTGGGACATGGGCAGTGCTGTCTGAGTCAGCATTTATTGCCCGTCTCTAGTTGCCCCTTGTGAAGATGGTGGTGAGCTGCCATCTTGAACCATTGCAGTCCATTTGCTCTAAATAGACCCACAATGCCCTTAGGCAGAGAATTTGACCCAGCGATAGTGATATATTTCCAAGTCAGGATGGTGAGTGGCTTGGAGGAGAAATTACAGATGTTGGTGTCCCCATGTATCTGCTGCCCTTGTCCTTCTAGATTTAAGTGGTCGTGGGTTTGGAATTTGCTGTCTCAGAATCTTTGGTGAATTTCTGCAGTGCATCTTGTAGATAGTACACACTGCTGCTACTGAGCATTGATGATGCAGGGAGTGGATATTTATGGATGTGGTGCCAGTCAAGCAGGCTGCTTTGTCCTGGATGGTGTCAATCTTCTTGAGTGTTGTTGGGGCTGCACTCATCCAGGCAAATGGAGAGTATTCCATCACACTCCTGACTTGTGCCTTGTAGATGGTGGACAGGTTTTAAAGAGTCAGGAGGTGAGTTACTCACTGCAGTATTCGTAGCCTCTGACCTACTCTTGCAGCCATTGTATTTAAGTGATGAGTCTACTTGAGCTTCTGCTCAATGGTAAGCCCAGGATGCTGATAGTGGGGGTTTTGGTGATGGTAACACCATCATAATGTCAAGGGGTGCTGGTTAAATGACCTCTTATTGGTGATGGTCATCGCCTGGCATCTATGCGGAACAGATTTTACTTGTGAGTTGTCAGCTTAAGCCTGGATAATGTCCAGATCTTTTTGTATTTGAACACAGACTGCTTCAGTATCTGAGGAGTCATGAATAGTGCTGAACATTGTACAATCATTGGTGAACATCCCCACTTCTGACCTTGTGACGGAGGGAAGCTTATTGATGAAGCAGCTGAATGTGGTTGGGCCCAGGACACTAACCTGGTTATTAAGCAGGTGCTGCTTGATAGCACTGTTGATGACACCTTCCATCACATCACTGATGATCGAGAGTGGACTGATAAAGCGATAATTGGTTGGTTTGGATTTGTCCTGCTTTTTGTGTACAAGGTATACCTGGGCAATTTTCCACATTGTCGGGATACTGGAACAGCTTGGCTAGGGGAGTGGCAGATTCTGGAGGACAAATCTTCAGTACCATTGCCTGAATGTTGTCAGGGCCCATTGTCTTTGCAATATCCAGTACCTCCAACCGTTTCTTGATATCACAGGGAGTGAATCAAATTGGCTGAAGACTGGTATCTGTGACACTGGGGACCACTGGAGGGGACTGAGATGGATCATCCAATCGACACTTCTGGCTGAAGATTGCTGCAAACGCTTCAACCTTATCTTTTGCACTGATGTGCTGGGCTCTTCCATCATTGAGGATGGGGATATTTGTGGAGACTCCTCCTCCAGTGAGTTGTTTAATTGTCCACCACCATTCACAACTGGATGTGGCAGGACTGCAGAGCTTAGATCTGACCATTTGTGATGGAATCACTTAGCTCAATTTGTCACTTGTTACTTTTGCTGTTTGGAACACAGGTAGTCCTGTTTGGTAGCTTGACCAGCTTGACATCTCATTTTTAGATATGTCTGGCACTGCTCCTGGCATGCCCTCCTGCACCATCCATTGATCCCCTGGCTGGATGGTAATGGTTGAGTGGGGAATATGCCATGTCATGAGGTTATAGATTGTGCTGGAGTACAATTCTGCTGCTGTTGATGGCCCATAGCGCCTCGTGTATGGCCAGTCTTGAGTTGCTAAATCTATAGGGGAGGTAGATATGTAGTTCTAGGGGAGGCAATGGCCTAGTGGTATTACCACTGGACTGTTAATCCAGAGACCCAGGTAATGTCCTGGGGACCTGGGTTCGAATCCTGCCATGACAGATGGTGGAATTTGGATTCAACAAAATACCTGGAATTATGGATCTAATGATGACCATGAATCCATTGTCGATTATTGGAAAAACCCAGCTGGTTCACTAATGTCCTTCAGGGAAGGAAACTGCCATCCTTACCTGGTCTGGCCTACATGTGATTCCAGACCCACAGCAATGTAGCTGATGCTAAACTGCCCTCTGGGCAATTAGGGATGGGCATTAAATGCTGGCCAAGCCAGCGATGCCCTCATTCCCCAGAATGAATAAAAATGAATAAAGTACGAAGTCTGTCCCATTTAGCACAGTCATAGTACCACACAATACGATGGAGGGTTTTCTCAATGTGAAGGTAGGACTTTGTCTCCACAAGGACTGTGTGGTGGTCACTCTTACCAATACCAGGGTGGAGGGGTGGTGAATATTTGCTGGGGCAGTCACCTGCCAGGGATGGAGTGGGCCTGTAGGCCTGCCTGGAGTATTGGCACATTGGGCTGTCCAGTGTTCACTTCCACGCAATACAACTGGCCCTGTTGGATGGGCAGGTGATGGCCTAGTGGGATTTTCGCTGGGCTGTTAATCCAGTGACCTAAATAATGCTCTGGGGACCCGTGTTCAAATCTTGCCACAGCAGGTGGTGGAATTTGAATTCAATAAAAATCTGGAATTAAGAGTCAAATGAAAACAATGAATTGATTGTTGGAAAAACCCATCTGGTTCATTAATGTCCTTTAGGGAAGGAATCTGCCATCTTTACCTGGTCTGGCCTACATGTGTCTCCAGACCCACAGCAATAAATGTTGGCCCAGTCAGCAATACTTTCATGCTGTGAAAGAATTAAAAATAAAACTGGAGGCTGATTGGAAAATCCTCATCAGTGCCCTCAGCAAGGCTGTTACCATGTCTGATTGGCTGTCTATCTCGCAGCGACTGGTAGTCTCACCACATCCTGAACCCACCTCCCCAAAATAAATAGCT